TACCTGTCAGACACCTCAGCCTAGTTAGCAAGTTCAAGGCTAGTGAGAGACTCTGTCTCAAAATAAATGGGTGAACCACTCTTGATCAATGACACCCAAGGTTATCTTCTGGCCTCCTTGTGTGCCTGCACTCACAAGTACACACTTGAACACACACATTCATGCATGTACAGACAAAAAAAAATCTTACAAATATGTCACTAAACGTGGAACAAATAGCAGATGGTATTAGTAATGGACGACTTGTGCTATGCTCAGAGAAGTCCCCGAGCTTGTTAAATAGGACAAGAGAGAGCTGTGACCCTTCTGATGTGTTTCCAGGGCTTGGTGAAGAGCAGGACTCAGCAAGTATGTGAGCGCTGGAGCCAAGCAAATGTTTTCTGCCTGCAGGTGACATTGGTGCTCCAGGAGACTCGTGTAGACAAAACGGATAAGCAAGGACATAGAACTAGCTAGGCATAACTTTTTCCACGTAATGTTAAGATGTCCTGTTCCAGTGGTCATTTGACTTTTTAAATTTTTTTGTGTGTCACAATCTGTACCATCAGGAGAAGCCATTGATTAAACCGTATTAAGTTGTTATGATGTGGCCATGTTTTTTATTCTAAAAATGACAGTCTTATATGGTTCACAGTGATACTTCTCTGATAATCATTCAAAAATCAAGAAAGCAAATTTAAATAGTTTGTGACAAGCACAAATGTAGCTTTGTGCTTACTTTCCACATATTCCTAAAGGATATATTGTGATGGAAAATGATTTTCAAAGTAGTTGTCTTATGTTCCCTTAGCTACTGTAATTGCTACAGATTTAGTGGCTTAAAAACAATGGGTTTTTTTTAAAACCCTTTTATTCAGGAGGTCAACAGTTCAGCACCAGTCAGCACTAGGCTGATGTCAGGGTGACTGCTTCTTCTTGGGCCTTTGGGAGAGGATACAGGATTGTTGAGTCCTTTGCAGCCTCTAGAATTCGGAGCATTTCTCAGCCTGTGGCCTCTGCTCACAGCACAGCAGGTTCTTGGACTTACAAGAACTTCCTCCCTTTTCCTGCCCCTCCCTCTCTCTGGCAGGAACTCCGGAGATGATATGGCCCCACCTGGATAAAACAGTTGGCTTTCATCACCTCAGGAGTCTTAAGTTAATCACATTCAAGTTCCCTTGTCGATTTCTGGGGATTGTGGCATGGACATCTAGGGAGAGGGGGCAACGTTCAGCTGCTCCACACGTCACCGTTACCTGGTTGTCGTCCTGTGCTTCCAGAGCTCGCTCTTCAATGCAGGAGGTTAGAGGAGTTTCAAAGGGATGCTCTCAGGGTTGTCTAGGATGTTCAGTGGATAGCAGGAACCATGAAGATGAACTGTAAGGCGAGCTCACCTTCAATTCTATTCCTGAAAAACTTCTCACTGATTGTTTTGAAATTCATATATAAAACATAGTCTCCAGCCTGGGTTGTCGGTCCCATCGCAGGGAGGTACTAGGGAGTTCTTAAACAGCTGCACACACCAATCCGGTGATAAGGAAGTGACTCCATGTAGGGAGGAGAGACATGGAAGACAAACCAGAAAGCAGAAGCCGTGTTGTATATGGTTGTGTGGGGCGGGGGGGGGGGAACAAGATGGGGATTAAAGTGACCCCATGTGGTATGGTAAACCTTTATGTTCTTAACCCACATTGTTTTAATTTCATCTCTTACATTGAGTTTTCTGTTCTATTTATTTCATTATGAAGATAGGTTTCTTGATAGTATGAAACTTTGAACATTACCTCAAGATACTTCCCATACCTATCAGATTATATTTGGGGTTACATGGTAGAAGTGGCCATGGCTTCTGGGACTTAGTTAAGTTTTGTAAGCAGAGTCTGTGTTTGTTTTCTGCCTGCCCAGACCTGAATAGTAACACAGGAACTATATTAATTACAACTCTGCTTGGCCTATTAGCTCAGGCTTCTTACTAATCTACTCTTATATTTTTAACCCATTTCTATTAATCTGTGTATTGGCACGAGGCTGTGGCTTACTGGTAAGGGCCCGGCATTTGTTTGCTTTGGTGGCAGCTACTTGGCATCTCTTTGACTCCACCTACTCTCTCTCTCTCTCTCTCTCTCTCTCTCTCTCTCTCCATATATATGTATATGTATATATGTATATGTATACATATATGTATATGTATGTATATATATATGTATATGATTTCCTGCCTGGTTTTGCTCTGCTAAGTCACCGACTAAAACACCTTTACTCATCAACCAATAAAAGTAACACATATACAGAAGGACATCCCACATCTAAGTTTTATTCTGTGGTGTGGCCTGAATTTAGTTTTCTTTTTAGCAGACATGATTTTGTTGTTGTTCTCATGTAACTTTACATCAGAGGACAGGAGAGCATCCCTGAGCTACTGGAGTGCCCGAGGCAAATGTCTCATCTCATCACAGCGATGGCCAATGCTCCTCTCTAACCAGGTGAACCAGAGGAAGTAATGACAGCCACAGAAAGTCCCTGCCCAGAAGATCTCATGTACCCCATGATGCAAGTAGGCATTTGCATCTCTCTGTGGCTCTCTGTATCACCATTCATAATTTTAAATAGTAGCTCTGTGGTATATCACGGGACGGGAAATGTAAGATGAAAGAAACTCTGTACTCTGGGCTGAAGTGTGGTTCCCCCCAAAGTTTAACTTAAAGTTTTATCATCACATACCTCAGAATGCAGTTCTGTTTGGAGACAGAGCCTTTAAGGAGGTTGCTAGGATTAAGGTGAAGTCATAAATATAGAGCCCCAATTCAAAAGGACTGGTATCCCCATAAGAACAGGAGAAAGAAACGGAAGAAGGCCACGAGGGGACAAAGGGAGGGTGGCCGTCTGTAGCCAAGGAGAAAGACCACAACGCACCAAAGCTACAGACACCTTGACCCAGAACTTCCAGCCTTTACACCTGAGAGAAAGTCAAGCTGGCTCCCTACCCTGTGGTAGCCCCAGCAAACTCTAAGGCCTGGCCTCTCTTGTCATCTATCCTGTTTCCTTGCTGGCCCTCTGCATTTTTCTGTGAGTTCCAAACATAATGTTCCTGCCATTTTCAACTCTGAGTCTCAAAGAAACAGGCCGGGTGTGGGCTGTGGTGTAGAAGTCTCCAGTATTCCCTGTGCCCACCTGCCTCCCAGGTGCAGGCCTGTCTTCCCTGCCTCACCCAGTTCTCTAAAAAGGGAGACATTGTCGGCTCCACTAGGGTGAAGCTGAACTGCCACCTCAAGGCAGGGAAGGCCACCACGGACATTTGTTCTGTTTCTGCTTGCACTGTTCAACTAAGTGTCCCGACAGCGTTCACCAGTTGTATTTATTAGATGGCCTCGCTGCCTGTACTCATTCTGAATACATGTCTGCTTCAGAAAGCAAAGTGTGAGCAACCGGTGAGCCGGGACTTGGCAAGGTTGCATCGTCCGTCCTTAGAGGGAACCTTCCCAAACAGCTTGCCAAGTTAAAAAAAAAAAGTGACCATAGCCGGGTGTGGCCAAACACGCCTTTCACTACAGCATTCGGGAGGCAGGGGCAGGCAGATCTCTGAATTTCAGACTAGCCTGATCTATAGATCTAATTCTAGGACAGCCAGAATGACAGAGAAACCCTGCCTCCGAAAGCAAACAAAAAAATGAACGTAGAAACATTTGTAAATAGTTTTAGCATATGGAGTTCAGTTAGTGTTTCCCATACTCCATTCGCTCTAGTATAGTGCTGCACACTGTTAGTGTTCTGTGTGTCGTTTTGGAAATCTGCTTATATCCAATGAAGAGTTGGGCTGTTGGTGTACTTTTTGTCCATTCACTTTGAATTAACATCACTTTGTAGTATATCCTAATATCTAAATTGGCCTCGTTGCCTTTTTTTCTATTGAATTTCTATTGATTCGTGATATTTTAGTCCTTATTTAAGGTTCTTTTTTCACAAGTGAACTTAAAAATTTAAACTGTTTAAAAATCTTGTTGAATATTTACATGAACTCTGTACACAGTGTCTAAATTGCAAGTTTTTACTTAGGTTGAAATAAGTAAATACTTAACTTCGACTCCCTTTAATGAGCAAGAGAGACTATGGAATTTGGAAAGGCAGACTGTGAGACCGGACTTTCTTGGGCACGAAGGAGTCAGTGAGAGAGAGCCATTTGTGGAAGAAGCATTCCTGCATTCTGCGTGGGCTGAACGGTCTGCACAGGGCTCTACTGTTCTCCCTTCCCAGGACACGAGAATCAGGATAAAGGGCAGTAGATGGCTTCTTAATGCGAAGGAGCAACTCAATCCCATAATCACCCATTCTTAGGTAGAACACAGCATCGGCTGCTGGTGTTTAAAATGCAGAGTTGAAAGCTACACTGTGAATAGAAGCCAGTCCCAGCCTTTAGTGTTTGACCTGTTCACTCCAAATGGGATAACAGGAATGGCAATCTCTTAGGGCTATTGGAATAAACCAGTATTTTTATTTATTTTATTTTTTGCAAACACCTTCAGCAGTATTCACTAAAAAATGTTGGTTTCGTTCAGGAGATTTTGTGCTGTTGAGATGGTTTTCGGGGGCTTGGAAAATGTCAGCTTATCTATATTTCTTTTCCAAATCTAGTCTACCTCCTACAGTTTGGAATGGTGGGCTAGGACTCAGAGAGGATGGTACCTGGTCCCTGGCCCACACCATAATTGAGGAGAAGCTTCTGCGCTTTGCACCTGACTTCTGACTTATTTATTGTTGCTCTCTGGCACATGGCCCCTGGGCTCTTGGCAAAAAATAGCTGGATTTCATTAAAATTCAATCTCTTCTGATACCATCTCTGCTGGATATTAGGAAGGATTGCTACCAGTAGGAGCAGCCTGATTAAGAATAGATTCTGGCTGGAATGTTCTAACTACTCTAAAATTACCATTTATAAGATTCGCCCCCTTGGCACCTGTATCCCTGGGCCCAGCGTGCCGTCCCTCCCCAGCTCAACTCACCTACCCGAGATCAGCCAGGCTGCCCGCTCCGTCTCCTGCTGGGTACCAAGATGAGTCTGTGTTCCTGTTTCAGGTGCAAGCCCTCTCTCATCGCCTCGAGTGCCCACTTTGAGGCCTTCTGTATGAGGGACACGCCAGTCTGCCATGGAGCCTAGCCCTGCCCTGGCCTGGCTCCTGCTGCTGAGCCTGCTGGCCGACTGTCTAAAAGCTGCGCAATCCCGAGACTTCACAGTGAAAGACATAATCTACCTCCACCCTTCAAGTAAGACTCTATTTTCTATTTGTTCTCTTGTCTGAAAAAAAAAAAGAAAAGCCTCGTTTTTTAGCTAGAAAGGAATCGAAGCATGCCCAGTGGAAAGCAACCTTAATACAGGAGAGACATGGGGTGATTTATTTAGGGGTGTAGATGATAATTAACGTTGCCTTGTGTTTTACCCCCTCCTTTCCACAGGGTGTTTGTTTTGTATCTTGGGCAAGATGATGAGGCTTGTTTTCTCTGTCTGCTGCACATCCTTCTGACTCTGTATACCCTTCCCTTTGGCTCTCTCGGTTCTCAGGCAGATATCAAAGGGAACTGGCCCATCCCAGGCGGTGTGCTGTTTGTAAAGAGATTAGACCTTTATAGCTTGATATAGCTGACCTTTCCCTTTGGCACCTTGCCTCAGTTAAAACATCACTGCCACCCACAGCGTCCTATTCTCTGGACTTCTGGATTTCCCATGGTTAAGAATTCTTCGGGGAGTCCACAGCAGTGCAGGTCCCTGGCATCAGGTTCCTGCCTCCAGCTTCTGGTTTGCATTTATCAGGGTTCTTGCTTGTGCTTCTTGCTTCCAATGGGAATTTTGGGTCCTTTGAGACTACACTTTGGCAAACAGCAGTGTGGCTTCCTCTTTTTGTCCTCATTGCTGTATCCATGTTCTCTTTTGGTTTTTGTCTGACTTCTCTTCAGTATTGTGCTTGTGGTGGTGAGTGCTGAGTATATTTGTGTGTGTCCTGGACTTTAGCTTTCAGCCCAAAGTATATTATTATCTTTAAATGTCTGCTGTACATAGGCGATTAAAATATGGCCCTTTTTGTTGAAGATCATACAACGTGCAAAGAGGAGGCAGCTATTTGGACTTTCTCAGCCAACAATCCTGGCATAGTTAACTCCTGTAGCTTGGGAGAAGTCATGTGGGATGCTCAGGGGCCTGGAGTACACCTGATCTTGACTCTCAGCAACTAGGTCAGCTGTCCTCTGGCCTCCTGACTTTGTGACTGTTGTGTAACATAATGCACAGGGAACTTAGCACTGAGCAGGAGCCGTGGTAAGTTCTCAGGCAATGCAAGGGACATTTGTTAGTTTATTTCTAATCTGGTAAAATCATACATACATCGAGGTATTGTTTTATAGACCAGGAATATTATCTGTGTAGCAGAGACCTGTACCCAATAGATAGTGGAGTCGTTTTTCTGCTGTTGTCATGATTTAGTCAACCAGACTATAAAATCCCTGTGCACTCACTGGCAGAGTCTGCCTCCTGCACCTGTGTCCTCACTGGCAGAGTCTGCCTCCCGCACCTGTGTCCTCACTGGCAGTGTATCTACTGCATCTGTGTCCTCACAGGCAGTGTATCTACTGCACCTGTGTCCTCACAGGCAGTATATCTACTGCACCTGTGCCCTCACTGGCAGTGTATCTACTGCACCTGTGCCCTCACTGGCAGTGTATCTACTGCACCTGTGCCCTCACTGGCAGTGTATCTACTGCACCTGTGTCCTCACTGGCAGTGTATCTACTGCACCTGTGCCCTCACTGGCAGAGTCTACCTTCTGCACCTGTGTCCTCACTGGCAGTGTATCTAATGCACCTGTATCTTCACTGACAGAGTCTACCTCCTGCACCTGTGCCCTCACTGTCAGAAGTCTACCTTCTGCACCTGTGTCCTCACTGGCAGAATCTGCCTACTGATTACTTGTATGAGAAATTTATCTGACTGCTTAATTTGTGGGAGTTTTGACTTTGTTTTGATAATTTACGTGAGCAGAAGACACTCTGATACTTGCCCTGCTCTCTAGATTGCATTCTGTTCTTCGCCCCAAACAACTAGAAGACCCAGGTTTCTGTCCCTCAGGCGTAAGTACCAGAACGTTGGCTTTTTTGATGTTCTCTGTCAGCATTAGTGAGAGACTCAGATCACAAGCTCATCTTTCCATGGTCTCTTCTAAAGCTACACAGAGGATAGGAGTTGAACATTGAAGGGAATGAGTTTATTATGTAAACTAGGACAAAATGCACTGCTTTTCCCTCCCTGGGATGGCTACTGAGTGCCTGGGGTGCAGATGGTCCCTATTTGGTGTTGTCTTCGAAGGATGAACTTTGACACTCTACTGGGGAAATCATATCTGCTCTTTAGGAGAGCCAGGTAGGATGGCCCACAACAGTAATCCCAGCACTTAGGAGGTGACATAGGAGAGGCTGAGGACTGCTTGAGCTGCCCAGCGAGTTCCAGGCCAGCATGGGCCACATAGCAACACCTTGTCCCAAATACAATAAAGTACGGTAATAGGTAAGTTTGAGTCAGTGACCTATGTTAACTGAATAGGAAGCATGGTCTTTTCTGATTTGGTTCTTAAATGTGAAAATGGTTGAAGTTGTTTCTGCCTAGACCGTGAGCAGCAGAACTAGATGAACTCAGGTTGCAGGCTGTGAGAATTCTTGTTGGGCTGTAGAACTTGAAGTTGTTCTGCCCATGTCAGATCAGAGTTAACTTCCCATTTCTCCAAACTCCATCAGAAGTGTCTTGAGTGTGTTTGTTTGCACTTTGGATTTTTAAAGAGCCACGCTTCTCTCCGCTCTTGCACCCTTGTTCATGCTTAGATGGAGGGATCCAGCAGAAACAAGAAAGTTTCTGTTCAGCACTGGCCGTAAAAAATACATGAGGGGGACATGGGATTAGTCTGATTTTGAATTATTTACACAATCGCCTCACTTTGTAGGTGAGGTACAAGCAGCTTTCTCTGGGTCAGTGAGTGAGCCAGATTCTATTAATGTTATATAGCAAAACACAGAATCTATCTGCAGAAGAACATGGTGTGGCAGGAAGTTTGAGAAAAATGCAAGCTTTCTATGCCAAGTAAACTGATTGTTCTTTGGTCCAGACAGCCGTCACCGATGGTAGCTGACTGGTAAAATTCGTCCTCACCTCGCTTATCTCCTTTGCTCTCTGCTTTCCAAATCTTTGACGTTTCCATGTATTATAAGAAACAAACTTTATGGATTTCAAACTCATCCACCAGAACATTCTGTTTGATAATTTGTATGTGCCTTTCTTCTTCTTTTTTTAATATGAGAAGTGCTGGGTTTTTTTTTTTCCATTCTCAGGTTAAATCACCAAAAATCTAATTACAATCCCCCGAATGAGAGTTAATATTAAGAGAAATGGAGTTATTTATTCGGTCAAATATCACACAGGAGAATTTAATAAGATGACTGCGCCCTGTCTTGGCCTCTGTTTCTTTCTGTAGCAGAGAAACCTCTCCTGGAAAACAATCCAATTTTCCTTTGCATGCATGTCCCGAACCCTTCTTCATCTTGTGCATCAAAGAGCTCTGTCCTTGCAGGAACTTGCTTATGCCCCACACAGGAAACTGAGGATATGTATGCACAGACCTACACTCTGTTGAGTCTTACAGAGTAAGAGGACTTGTAGACAGGTGTCAGGAAGTATGGTCTATTAGAACTATGTTCATGTCAACATTCTATCAGCAAGATTTTAATGGTGCAGGACAGATAATATTAGATGTTTAGATTTTTTTTAATTTCCATCCATTTTCTAACAGTGGAAACTAATTTGCCCAGAGCAGGCACACTGCGCATCCGCATCCATTGCGAAGCCATCTGCTTTCTGAACATTTCCAGCGGCTGACTGAAGGTCTTTGTCCAGGCAAAAGTTCCGAGGGGGGTGGGCAGGGAGGCTAGATCTTTCCTGATGCCTTACAAATGAGTTATGGAAACTTGAACTAGGGCTGACCATGCGAGTTAATGGACAGATTCTCTTACAGGAAGTAACTGGGCACACCGGTGTTTCTTTTTTCTTTACAATCGCCCTCTCTTGAGGGACCAAGGCCTTATGCCCTGAAATGCAGTGTGCTAAGCTTATTAACTCTGTGATCAAGAGCCAAATTAGATTCATTCACAGCCGGGGCCACCAGGATCTAAAGTCCGCTCGCTCTGTAAGGCTTTGAAGTAGTAAAGAAGAAAATAGCACATCTTAGGGACCTCTTTCCCTGTCTGTTAAAAGAGGGATAAACTCTTTATCAGATGCAGTATCAGTTAGCAAGTTACTGGAGACAGTTGTTCATCTGCTGACCTTATTCAGGTTAAGTATTGCCAGAGGGAATTATTTCTCCATTTGTTCGGTACTGTTCTGTAGTTAATTAAAGTCGAATATGCTTGCAAAGATTTGTCAGGAATCAGGGCCATTCATTGGCTCCCTAAGCAAACTATCAACAAATTTTTCTATAAACAAATATTAAGCTACGGTGTTTGAGAATGCAAACAGCCATGGATTCATAGGTTTTAAAATAAGACCAAGAAGGGGCTGGAGAGATGGCTCAGTGGTTCAGAACGCTGGCGGTTATCCCACAGGACCCGGGTTCAGTTCCCAACACCCACAGAGCACGTCAGAACCGTCTGTCATTCCAGTTCCAGGGGATTTGACACCCTTTGCTGGCCTCCTTAGATACTAGGCTTTCAAAGGGGTCCACACAGCCATACATGCAGACAAAACACCCATGCACATACAATTTTGAAAATAAGATAAATAATAATAAACCAACCAAAATCAAGGGCATTTGGTCAATCACCAGTAGCAATTACTGATGACTTCGTTTGGGTAGAAATGGTTTGAAACAAAGCTCCCTTTTGCTGCATAGGGCTGTAGCTCTTGCTTCTCTTCAGAGGCCAATGTCCTTGGGTTAATTGCAGAGCAAGGGTTTACATAAGAAGTGGCAGTATTTAATCTAATATGTCATCAGTGTTGTAAAAGAGCATTTTGAAAAGTCAATGAGCTAATCCAGGTTTGGTAACACAACAACTTATTAGTGTTTGGTTCTCAATATCTTTATTCTTGGAGCAGTTGGTTTGTCGTTATTCAAAGTTTTTAGTTTATCTCTTTGATGGAAAAGTTTCCAGGCATAACTAATCCAAGAAGCCAGCCAAGAATTGTTTTGGCTGCAGTGCCAGACTGGTACGATTGGCTGTGCCAGTGAATGAGTCACGTGGGCTGAAGTGGTGTGGCTAGCTTGCAGTCACAAACCTTGGTGACTGCGATGAACCCTGCCTGGAAAACACTGGTTTTATCAAATCTTTTATATTCATTTTTGTCCAGTGCTCTATTTCCACTATGCTACTTCAAAATTTTACAAGATACTTGAAAATTTTTACCCCTTAAAGTGATTTATATGTTAAATATTCTAAACTTAAGAGTGGAACTGTTTTTAATGTAGCAAACCAGCATGATTTCCTAGACCGGTGGCATGATTTTTTCTTTCTTATAATGATATTTGTGAAATACAAACCTATTAAAATGCCCATATAACATTGAGTGGTTTTGGGCTTTGAAACTTGGCTGGTTTTTTCCTTTTAATTCCAACACAGAATTGTTCAATTAAAATATGAAAGACTTTTCTAGGTGCTAAAGGGGGGAGGTTACTAATTATATGTGTGTGCTTCACCAAATTATTTCCTGTTGCTTTTGTGATGTGCCAGAGAGCATTTTCCCCATGGTACAGTTCCCTCCTGGGCCGTCTCTAGGCTTTTTATTGTTTTAGGAGGTGATCCATGCCCTTACTTTTAACCTGTTTGTCAATGAGTTTAGCTAGCAGGAGGATCACAGGACTCTCATGGGCCCACGGAAAGGTCTGGTTACTCATTCTCTATAGCCAGTCAGCAGTCCAGGTACCACGATCACAGTCCCTTTTCTGAAATATTTCAGTCAAGTATGCGAATGGACAGCTATTTTGGGCAAGGTGAAAAAAAAATCAAAGTTTTATCTGGACCATAATTCTGGCCTTAAGCCGATGCCTCTCCTTCATTTATTTTTGATAACGTACTTAATTGGTTCCATGTGGGCCATGAAATTTACCCTGAGATGATTATTTCTACCAGTGGGCTCCTCGGGCACAGCCATCTGCGAGAGCGAGCTGTTGGCTCCCGCAGACGCACTGTTTAAATGCCTGCGGCTTTCCACGAGGCCAGCCCAGGTACCGTTGCAAATTTTTAAAATGCTCCGGATCTGTTTAGAGAAGGCAGAGATCTAAATCACGAGGCAGGCGAGCAAAGGATTCCAGGTAAGAGGCCATTGGAAGCACAAGAGCCGAAGAACTGGGAACCAGAAGACTGTCCTCCCGGGAGTGCGGCTGACATTGCTTGCTGACCCTTTGCCCCATGCTGGCAACGCCTGGTGTCCTGAGCACCTCCAGAGCCTGGTTCTCAGGTGACTCCCCAGCCTGAGCCTAGGAGCAGGGCAGAGAACAAGTGGGCCTTGGAGGAAGGCAGGAAGCACAGCACAAGTGTGGAGAGAGGATGGGAAAGGTCAGAGAGCGCTGCTGGGATTGTGTGAGTCACACCTCCTCTCCAAAGGGTACCCGCCCATGGCCACCTGTAACACCGGTAGCCACTCTTCTGCGCACTGTCCATTCCGAATTATGTTGTGTCAAAGGAGGTTTGATAAATGGTCCCAGGTGCTCTGTGGGCAGACAAGGTGGACCTGCTGCATGTGTCTGATCCCCAGGAAGGAAAGAACCAGTTCCTGCAAGTTGTCCTCTGTCTCCATGTGCATACTGTGGCACCTGGACACATACACACGCACTACATACATACATCCACACACATACATGCATGCATACATGAATGCATAGATATAAAAATAATAAAATAGTAATATAAATATAACCATATAACATGTAGGGTTTTTGACTGTTTTTTTCTTTCTCACTGAGAGTAATCCCAAGGGAATTTATTAAACTTGTTGAAAATACAAACAATCTGTTCCTTTTTGTTGGTGCCCGCTATTCCATAGTATAGATGTACCACAGTTTGTTTAATCCATTCCCTTATTGATAGACATTTGAGATCCTTACAGGTTGGGTCATTGTAGGCTGAATGTCCTATCTCTGAAGTGCATGGGACTAGGGATATTTCAGGTGTTAAAAGGTTTTTGGATTTTGGAGTATCTGTTTGTATGTGGTGCAATATCTTGGGATGAGCCCGAAGTCCAAATGCCACATTTACTAGCTTCATATGCACCTTGTAAATAGCCTGGGAGACTTTTGCATAATTGCTGGAGGGAATTCTACACAGTCTTTTCAATGCAGTAACTGGTCACATGAGGTCAGGTGTGCAATTTGGAGAGCTGCTCCAAAGGTTTAGATTTGGGAGCATTTTAGATTTCATATTTCCAGATCAGGAGTAGGCAGCCTGTTTAAATGAAATCGACTGGGTTGTATGCAGATTTTTGTGTGTGAATACAAGTGTTTGTGTCTCAGGAGTAAATTTCCTGCTGTAAAATGCTGAGTCATCAGATACTTCGTTTTAATTTTTTTCTCCAGCTCCAAGATATCTCGAGAACCCTTTTAAAAATTAATATATTATAACTTTACAGGATTCTTTGCTCCATCTGAAATCGGTGTGTTTTTTTTTTCTCTTGGTTTTTGCAGCCACTCCATATCCTGGTGGATTTAAATGCTTCACCTGTGAGAAGGCAGCAGACAATTATGAATGCAACCGCTGGGCCCCTGACATCTACTGTCCTCGAGGTAAAGTCTCAGCAGACAGATTGGGTCCCCAGAGCACTTGAGAGCGAGTAACCCTAAAAACCAGGGACATGCTTGGAATCACAACCGCTCCTCTTGTCTGAGGCTATTGGCAGATCTTTTAGGCAGATGCATAATTCATCCTCCAAGACTCTCAGATACACAGGGACCCATACGATCGTTCCCTTTCTCATGAAGTGTAGTTGGAGCTCTACGGGAGGTAGCTGAGACGGCTCCACCCTGGGGCCAGCCAAGTGTGGAGCAGTAGAGAATGGGCAGCTTGTTTGCCACTCTTTGAAGCCTTCATCCTTAGTCGCTTCTTTCATGTAAAGGATGAATCGATGCTCATGTAATGATTTCATTTATTGCCTGTCTTGCCACGGTCTTACATTTCGAGACTGTGAAAGCCGACATTCTAAATGCCATCGCCGCATCAATAAAAAAAAAAAAAAAAAAAAATAAAAAAAACAAAACTTGAACCTTTTCAACTGCTAAGTTCTCTTTCAAGGACGAGATGGACTGCAGTTAAAGCTTGAAATTTTGATCAAAATACTCATTGGGAAAAGAAGACACATCCTATTTATATCTCTCTTTTTAGTGAGTGAAAACGATGCTTCTATCCAGCTGTGAGGTCATGGCTAATTGACTGTTTTATTTTGTAGGAAAGTCGACTGGTTGAGTGGGGGTGGGGGTGTGGACTATGGGGTACTCCATTGACAGTTGTCTTGGCAGTGAATGCTTTCCACTGTAGATTTAATTCAGATATGTTAGAATGACGAATACAATAAATGCATTCATTACTTTTCAACATAAGGCAGGACTCCTCATGTCTGGTACAAAGAATGCCCTTTGCTAGACTGGCATTGGGAGAGCTGGGACAGTACTAACCGATAGAGACAAGCAGTTCAAACTCTTTAACCTTGATCTTTCTCCTGGGGCTTTCTGGAAGTATATAGAGAACCCACTGAAAATGTATGCCCAGCCTGTGCCTGTGGCTCCCAACCTGAAGCATGATCACTGCCCATGCTGTGACTTATCATAGCACAGGGATATGCTACCATTGTCAACTCTCTGACTCATCCGCCTAGCAGATCCATCAGGCCTGAAATGGGCCCAAGAACTTGCCTTTCTAAAGCGTGTCCATGTGAGCAGACTCAGCCATATCCAGAACCACAGTGAAAGACCCCCCGAAGTGAGGAAACTCTCACTCAAGTCTCAGGATAACACGACCCCTCTAGGAACTCACAAGAGACTGTCCTTGTTGCAATTACATGAGGTTTATTGACAGGACAGGAACCAGTGCACTGGGGCCGAAACTCATTTCCCACGCAGGGGTAGAGTTCGTCCTCCAGTAGCTGGGAGAAGGGGTATTTAACAGAAGAAATCATAACCCAATAACCCAAAGTGGGTAGGGAGGGTGTCATTAGAAAATTCCGAAAATACTAGTGATAATCACAAGGGGGTAACTCCCTGTTTCTCAAGATTATTCTCAAGATTATAATCTAACTTTATGGTCAGCTAGTTCCTGGAACAGAGTCACTGAACTGGCTAACCTAGATGTTTGGTTCTTCTCTCTCTGCTAGATTGTTTTGGCTCTACTCTTTCTGCTAGAGGGGTCTGAATTTATCTGGGTCTTTCAACAGCTCTCCATGAATTGAACCAGGCTCAGAGTTTCGGGTCCTGCATCAGTATCTCTCACTATGCCTGGTGATTCTGCGCCACAGTCAAGGGTTGAGAACTACTGGAGGCTCCTTTACTTCCTAGGAGGGAAACGTCTCATTTCTAGGCTCTTGTTGAATTTTAGGTAGTGATGTCAGGGGGCCTTAAAAAATTATGGGGACAAAGAAAAGATGATGCCGGTGAAGCCTAGCTTAATCCTAAGGTAGCTGTCTTGCCACATTGATCACCCACACCCTGTCACTTTCCTTCTACAGGCATTGCTTTGTTCAAAACGAGGCAGTGTTTTCATGTTCTGACTTAGCTCTACAGGATGAACGTTTGGATCAGTTGTTAAAGGGCCAACTGAACCCCTGATTCTCAAAAGTGGCTGCACCAGGCCAGTAAATGCTTGGAAGCACTGGTGCCTGGGGTCCTCCCACAGGTCCGCCTTTTTACTGGCGTGGGTGGGTCCGAGGACAGTGATTTTGGAAAGCTCCCTGAGTGGCTTAAATTTGCATCAGAAGTTGACAGTTGTCAACAGAGACTCTGGACAAATCCAGAAAGATGTGCTTTAGGGCTGGCTGCTACTAGAGCAGATCTGGCCAACTGGCTTCTAACCTTGTTGCCATTTGCGAGAACATGATATCTGAATCTCAGGAATTTGAAAAACAAAACAAAAACAAAAAACCCCAAAGAACCAGGAACTCATTTCCCACTGCTTTGAAGGCCTTGCAGTCCCACAGCAAGGTTCTGGAGAGTTCAGGGTCTGGGGAGTTTGATGCTCTGCTTCCAGTGTGGCACCTTCTTATTGCGACCTCCCTGGGAGAGCCGCATTGTGTGTTCACAATGTACGGCCAGATGGAAAGGAGCAAAGCCACCTTGTACAGGCCTGTAAGGTGTCCCTACCCCACTCATGAGGTCGGCTTTACCTTTCTGGCTTCACCTCTCCAAGTTTCCACCTCTTGATGCTGATGGATCGGTTACAGTGGCGGAACTTTGGAGGATATGTTCAGCCAGGAGCAGCACATGGCTGCTTAGGACGGACTCAGCAGAGCATACAGGGCACAGGAAGGCATGTGAACTAGCATTTGTAGACGTTAGCAGACAAATCCCTCCCTGTCACAGAGGACGAAACACAGGTGACCAGAAGCACCGTTCTGGACTGCCTGTCTTGGTGCTTTCTTTCCAATCAGAATCTCCCTCTTCGAACTCCAGATAACTGGAAGAACTGAGAGGTCTTTACACAAGGTCTTTACAGAAGCTATCCCTTCCCCCTTTTCCGGAAGCTCCCCTTTTATCTTGCTGTTCCGTAACTGCGTGGGGACAAATGCAGTTGTACTCTGAGTCCATGACATAAAGGAACCAGGCCAGGCCCCTGGGACAATTACGCAGTGGAAGATAGGAATCTAGTTTCTTCTTTCTAGGAGCAGACAGTTTACCCTGGGAGATAAGATCTGACCGTATCGGGTGTTAGACACAGCAGGTGAAAGTTAAGTGCCCAGACCGGCCTTAAATGCTGTGGGAGCTGAGGGCCGAGGAGAGCAGCTGGGCTGAGGGGACAGTTGCTCCTCACGGTAGGAAGCTGTGCAATTCTCCAGCTAGGGAAAGGACTTAAATATTTCAGGAGACGACTCTTCCCGAAGTCATGCAGGGCAGTGGTGTGGACACTGGACTTTCCGTGTGTGCCCAACCGCCAGCGAAGACCTGGCCGAAGAGTAGGACTGTGTGTATATCAAGGACAATTAATAGACACCAGAAACTACAGCAATGCCCTTTTGAGTACCTTTGAGCCTCAGGGGAGGGCGGGAACTCAACGCCTCAGCCTGAGAAGAGGTGCAAGTACAAGACTCTTGTGTTTCTAAGTCTAGGTTATGTGAATGTCTATCAATAAAACTAATAGCCATGTTATTGAAATGCGGCTTCCTCTGTCTTCCTACATTTGTGCTGTCTGCTTACCATGAGTCTAAAGTGACCAGAGGTGACCAGCAGGCTTAGTGAGGGCTGCTGAGAGGTTGCTTGGAAAGGCGCAATGCTTCCTGCAGCATCTCTGGGTCATTGCGTGCTTATTTTGTGACATGCTTAGCTGGGTTTTAGTCATCACAAGGTTGAAGGTGAAAAACCTGATTCCGGCTGAGCATTTGATCTTGTCTGTGTAGAATGAGGCCACACACCCAGTTGCTTGGGGGTGGGGGTGACTAAATCTCAAGCTTTCAGAAGCTGGATTCTGGAACCATGGGTCTAGCATGTCACAGCATCCATCTGAGACGGATGGAGTTGACACACTTGTGCCTCCGTACTGGTCCAGCATATCCCGAAGAAGCCTGGCAGTGACTAGACTCTTTCCCAGGAACAACAGCAGCATAGCCAGCTGCCGCAGGCTCACTGGAGCTTCCTTTCTGAGTGAGAGAAAGTAAGAGTTTCCTCCTCTATCACATTATTTTGCCTCTCTCACTTGCAGATTCATGGTGATTTCTGCTGCAGTGAGAGCCTCTAAGTCGCCCTCCGTTCCCGACTCCAGCTGCCGCATCTTCTGCTACACCTGTAATTTCATCACACTCCTTTCATACCTGGCCGCTCTTCCTTGGTTTTTGTAAACAAAAAAGATATTGAGATCTATTGCATGAGAGACCAGTTGAAGGAACAGTGGATAGAAAATAGGCGGTGAGATTCGTGTCGTTCCATCACAGTCGTCTTTGCCCATGGCATCTCTTTGTTGAGAGAGGAACTATATACATGTTTATTAAGAGTTAAATGGCAGTTCAGAGACCCTAGCCTGGACATGTTTGGTCCCTTCATGAGGAAGTGTCTCTGCCTCCCTCAAGACTAAATCCGACAGAATAGCAGTAGAAAATGCTATGATGGGAAACATGTCCTCTGCTCCCTGCTTCTCAGCTGACCACTGTTTTCTTGTGAAATTGATTCAGTGAAGATGTCCTATGGTGGCTCTTTCTGAATGCTAGTCTAGTGGGGACATGGGTACGGTGGGCAACAGAAATGAGATCCCAGTTTAACTAAAGAGAAGCCCATGGCGCCGTATTTCTAGGGAAGACTTCTTATTTCCGTCACTTCTTAGACAGGCCAGTCCCTGGGGCATCCTTTTCCTGATTTACTCAAAATACGAGTGAGAGTTTCTTCTTTATTTTAGGCAACTTTATATTTAGGATATAGTCCTCCAAGGCATCTACCTTAATTTATATCAAGATATCTCTAGATCGCATGTTAACTCGAGGGTTTGAAACTTCCCAGGGTAGGAACACCAGGATCTTACTCGGTGTGTGCTCTAGGGATCTTTCCCTTTCTGGAGAGTTCATTTCTGCGTCTACAAAGGTATCCTATCCAGCACC